TTACATACTTTCCCTAGATAATCATTTTTTAAAATTCTGATTTATAATATTTCTTTTAATTGTATATAATGGCAGCGTTTTAATTCAAAATTAAATTAAATCTATTCTAGTTGTAGACACTCATGAGGCCAATTAGAACCAAATTGAACCTATTCACTCTATCGTTGGACGACCAATGCTACAACGTGCTAATACTCTTTGTTATTAATTACAATCCTTGTATTGTTAACTATTTATTACGCGAAATAAACAGAAAAAAAGTCACGTACACCATAAATATGTTTAACTAATCGTAAGATTCCACATACAGTCAGAATGACCATAAGAACGTGATCTTTCATGTAAATAAAAAGCAGAGACTCGATACTAAAAAGAAATGAAACTTCGTTTAAATAAAGTATGCTAACCTTCTCTAAAACAACGTCGCGACGCTCTGTTTCTTAGTCTAGATAAAAGTAAAAAACCTAGAACCAAAGAATAAAGAAGTACATAGAAGTTCACAAGTCTCCTTTTTTATCTACCCAGTTTTATTTTAGTTACTACTGGGACGACCAGTGGGCGAAAGTAGATACTTAACGCGATGACGGTATAATACTATCAACAAATACTATAAAAAAATATCAAATATTATTTATTTACAATATTGTATATATTTAAATATTTTTAGGTAAATTTGTAATTATATCAATTTGTTTTCAACTTTGTTCGTTATTCTTATTCTTATTTTTGATTTAGAAAACAATATGATATCCCGATTGAAATTTCTATATCCTCGACTCAGTGAGTTTAAAAGTTTAAATAAATTTTGTAATAAAAAACCAGCTATAATATTAGGAATTGAAAGTAGCTGCGATGATACTGGTTGCGGAATTGTGGATAGCAATGGAAATATTTTGGGTGAAGCAATTAACTCGCAATATTTATTACATTCGAGGTAATTTAAATATGTTAATAATATAATGATTGTTCTTTTGAAAACAATTGCATTCATTTAGACAATGTACTTGTAGGTATGGAGGTATAATACCTCCAATTGCTCGGGAAATGCATAGGCAACATATCACAGACGTATGCGAGAATGCATTGAGATCTGCAAATTTAAAATTAAGAGACATAGACGCTATTGCAACTACTGTGAAGCCGGGTCTTCCAATGTCACTTCAAATTGGCCAAAGGTTTGGAAAATATCTAGCACTTGTTGGTAATAAACCGTTTATACCCATACATCATATGCAAGCCCATGCATTAACAGTTCGATTAACAGAGAAGGTTTCAAATAAAGAATTTTTTCTATTCTTCATATAAAATTAAACATAAAGAATAATATTTGATATTGCTTTCTAGGTAGATTTTCCTTACCTTGTTCTTTTAATATCAGGTGGTCACTGTATACTTGTAGTTGTTCAAAATGTAGAGGAATTTATTATACTTGGCTCGTCTATAAACAATGCACCAGGAGAAATTCTAGATAAGGTACGTTATTATGATAATATCGTACTACCAATGTAGCTGCAAAAATAAAATATACAGGTGTATTATAGATTGCTCGCAGACTCAAACTAAATTATATAAGAGAATTTAAAAATATGAATGGAGGTCAGGCAATAGAAGCAGCGGCAAGTAGGGCATCTAACATAGATCAGTTTACTTTTGGTGAATCTATGAGGTTTCATAAGGATTGTCAATTTAGTTTCTCTGGAATATTATCAACATGTAGGAAGCATATTACTGATCAAGAGAAGAAATATAATGTCACAGCTGATATGCTTATTCCTGATGTTTATAATTTATGCGCTAGCTTTCAATTTGCAATTACGAAACATCTCTGCAAGAAAACGCAAATAGGAATAGAATTTCTTGATAAAATAAAATTAATTCCTGAAGATAAACGAACATTAGTGAGTATAAGTGTATCTGATTTAAAATTCAATCATTTTTGGATTATACAATTGATGTAATTATAGGTTGTATCGGGAGGCGTTGCAAGTAATCACTTTATAGCAAAAGCTTTGAATATTGTATGTTCTGAACTAAATTACAAGCTTGTCAGGACACCGCCAAGATTGTGTACCGACAATGGTATTATGATAGCCTGGAATGGAGTAGAAAAGTGGAATTCGGGTATTGATATACTCAGAAGTGAAAGTGAAATTAAAAATGTAAATGTAGAAGGAAAAGCAGCCATAGGAAAAGATTGGACAAAAAGAGTACAACTTCAACGATTAGATCTCAAACGAATAGGCATAAAAAAAAAATTGTTTATGGAATCAAATACGTAAGTTATATGCATTGTATGTACATTTAATATACATAAATTATTTTGATCGCATCTAAAACTGTTTTCTATTAATCTAAAAGATTTTGTAGACAAATTTAAACTAGCGTAGGTCCACTTTGCTTCATTTTTTCCTTTAGTTTCTCATGTAATTCAGAATCAGATATAATTTCTCTTTCTGATATTAATTTTTTTTCTTCATTAATATATAGTATATTTCGTATTTTATCTTTAATCATTTCTATTTCATGTTCCTTTTTTAGAGCTAATGATGCCGTCACAATATCATCAAATTCTATAACGTGATCGGGTCTTATTTCTTCTGGATATTCTGAGACAACATTTGGTAGATCTTCCAATTTATCTTTCATATTGGCATAAATTTTATCAGAATTATTTGTATCCATCTTATTTATTATAAGCATGGAAGGTGTATGTAATAAATCTGGTTTGTAAAGTTCTATTTCTTTGTTTAGTAAAATAATTGTTTCTAAACAGGTTCTATGAGAATCATGAACGGATAATTGGAAACCTTGAATATCTACAATAAATAGAAGTAACTTTGTTCTTTCTAAGTGCTTTAAAAATTTGTGACCCATTCCGATATTGGCATGTGCTCCTTCGATCAAACCTGGTAAATCAGCAACTGTTATTTGTCTATGGTCTTTGTACATCATAGTGCCTAGTTGTGGTTTTAAAGTAGTAACTGAAAGAAACATTAGAATTTGAAGAATCTAATGAATATATTTATATACTATATTAAATTTGTAGCTTTTAAATGCACTTACATGGATAATTTGCAATTTTTGGTCGTGCTTTAGACACAGCCCGTAGAAATGTACTTTTTCCAGCATTGGGAAATCCAACTAAACCCACTTCAGCGATCAGCTTAAGATCGAGTATTATCGTTCTACTTTGTCCTTTCTGACCACAAAATCCTGTTTCTTTACAACCGCCCAGACCACCCTTTGCGACTAATAACTTTGAATTTGCTTCGTTCAAATCTCCTATATTTAATATAAAACAACTTTACAAATCTATACTTATACGTACTATATGGAATATTACTTAAATCTCAATTAAGTTTACCTAATTTGAAACCATTATCATCTAAGATAGTTACACCGCAAGGAATGTTTATAGTTAGATCAGTACCAGGTTTTCCTAGAATTCCTTTCATAGTACTGTTGCCTCCTGATTTAGCATGTATTTTTATTTTTTTCCATTTTCTCTTAACATCCCTTAACGTTAATTCCTGTTTTGATAAAACATAAATATCTCCACCTGAACCACCTTTACCACCATACCGAGGCAAACCAGATCCTCCAGCACCTGCTCTCACAGTAAGACGCAAAGAATCTATGAATCCTTCTTGTAAACGTTTTCTAGGTACCTTAAATAGAAATAAATAAAACGACATTAAAAAATAGAATTTACTCATTTCTCGTTTAAATATGATATATCATACATACTTTAAAAACATAACCTAAAATATTTGTAAGAAATACCATTTTGCCTCTGTATTATTACCGAATATTAATATTTTGTATTGTAAATATTTTATCAAAACAATATTATATATTAAAACATTGCACCTCTCTTTCTTATAATTATGCTATAACATATCGATCACCCAGTTGTGTAAACATTCGACTAGCCACCATATAAACACATGCACGTGAAGTGCAACAAAGTTATGTAGAATCGATTGTAATCAATTGTTAGCTAATACTTATCGAGAATCGAGTATGTATTTATTTCTTCTCATTGTCAGTATTACGTAGGTAATTTAAATCGATAAACAATAGATAAACAAAAATATAAATTGCCAACTACTGTAATAAAAATGATTTAATTTTCTGCCTATCTCAGGATAATTCGTATTATCGTAATGTTACATATGTAATAGTATATATATAATTGCATACAGGTGTCTATGCGTTTTACATAAAGTGACAAGCTTTTAGACAAAACGAATTACTGTCTGGAAATTGAATCATGCAGGAGCTGAATAGTGCACATTTTCTTTTCTCGTTCTATGTTGCATGAGATGCAATAGATAATGATATCATCATCATCATTGCGCTTACATAACTCTTATACGCAACTATCTTCGCTAATTATCCAATAATCATTAATGATTAATTTAGAATTTATTATAATTCAAATATCTCGTGTAATTTAATAAATGATTTATATTTGTTCGTAAAAATAGAAAAAATACAAGTAAAAATGTGGCTACTCATTTTAGTATTATACAAAATGGCGCCAGAGTTCAAATTTAAAAAAGTTATCAAAATCTGGCTCTTTTCCGTATAATTAACATTGATAATTAAAGGATAGAAAATCATATAATTACCAATGGGTTTTGATAATAGCCAATATGAACGTTTAAATAATATGTTCAATAAATCGAAAGATCTTTATTAATTACATTTATAAATTTCCAAAGAATTTATTTAATATTATTCAAAATCGATCTCTGTTCATGAAATATTAACGCGTGAATTGATCGAGGTATCGCTAAGCCTTGTGCTTCTTTTTATTTTTCATTTTTAATAGGTGTTTGGTCCTTGCAATTCTTCAGGGTCTCCGCGTCAATGAGGAGTTGGGCGGATTGCATTCAAGGGTTAAGTGAAATCAATTGTGCGGCCTTTGCAAAGAATCAATTGATGTGCGTATTATAAGAAACAAGACGAAGTCAAGAAAGAAAAGAATCAACGAGAGAGGGAACCAATAAGAGTAAGGAAGGCTTGTTGCATCTAGCCTTCCTTAGTTATAGCAAAACGGAGGCTCGTCCGGCAACGTATGTGTTAAAATTAAATTTAGCCAAAAAGAGAGAGAGAGAGAGAGAAAGATAGAGAAAGAAAGGCCAACGGCTACGTTTCTTGCAGACGACGACGAAAACGAAGACGAAGACGAGGACGACGACGACGACGAACGACGCGACGTCCTTTAGTTCAGTCTCAAGAGCATATCCCGGTTGTACGGGTGCTCTAATTAGACATATCTTTTTTTGCTTTTCTTCTCTATCTTTTCCAAAAGAGTATCCTTCTTCCTATTTCTTTCTTTTTTTTTTTTCTTTTTTTCTCCTAATCCTTCCAAATTCTTTCCAATTTTCATTTATTTTTTTGCTTTTCTTTCCTTTCCTTTCCTTTTCTTTTCTTTTTAAATACAAAATTCCCGCGAAAATTTATGTACGTCAAATAGAAACACATCGAGTGAAATAATTAACTCATTAAGAATTACCTTGTGCGGTATCTATATCGTCAACAAAAAGGTGTTACGACTATCGTTGTTGTAAAGCGTCATCGTCGTCGTTCTTTATAGAAGACATATAATACCTCCCAATAAGTGAGAGGGACTCTCGACCGACAGATATCAGGTAACTTCTTGTTTATACATACGTACACATATGTAAATGATCATTTATTTCAAACAACGTTCAAACGCGAGAAACTACATATGATATTTATTATAAGATTTCATTTGAATGTAGTTATATGATCGAAGTTATCGTTAACTGAGAAGATTTTATTATAATAATAATATACTCATTATTTTCTTTCTTTTTCTTTTTTTTTACTATGTTCTTTTCCCCTTTACAACACTAAATTGCAATACGATATTAGATAGATTAATCTTGATAATATATAACGTAGTTTATTAATTAATTCGCGTTCAAATCTCTTACGATCTGATTATAATAATGATTGATATCATTCGTATTGCGACAGGTTCTGCAAATATAATTGATTCGATATTTCATTAATGATATCACATATAAAATTTGCATTATCATTCTTATCATTCCGTACGAATTAGATTAGTCAGCGGATACACATGAATTCTATGATATTGATCATAGTTGGTAAAACAGGATGGATATTAATATATCAAAATGATATTATAATAGTATTATTTATTATTATTAAATGATTAGTGAGGACTCTTAAAGAGTGCATAGAAATCGAGAATGCCATCGGATTACTAGCCTTGATCACTAGCCAAATACTTAGCAAGGAAAGCGTACTGTTGTCACGCTAGCGTGCTAATTTTATGTTCGCCATCTACGACGCAGTAAAATGAAAGTTATCAAATATACATTGACTAATTTTGTTATCTTTCGATTGTTATATCAATAGCATGATTTATATATTAACTTACATATACATTATATACGCCCAACCTTCGTAGGATAATATTAACAAGAATCAATTAGTTCTACGAAGGAAAATTTAATGAGATTTACAATTCGTATATTACCATATATATATATGTCTATTTTCTCTAGTAGATTGATACGAATTACGTTTATTTTGTTTATTTTATTTAAGATGGATCGAGACGATGAAGATTTTGGTGAGGGATACATCGCGGAATCGCATCCACTTAGACCAACTCATCTTTCGGTACCTTTAGGTGGAAGGGGTGATTCCAGAGCACCCAGTATCAGTAGCAGTGTCAGTGATTTGGATGCTCCTATTTATACCAGAGAAACTACCATACCGATATCTGCTAAAGGGGCAAGTCATTACGTGCTTATATTATTTATTTATTTAAATATCTAATTCGCGTTTTTTCTCTTCAGTGTTTTTTTCAGATTGTATATATATAATAATTCGTATATTTGATTATGCAGAATGATTAACAAAACAAATCCTTAGGGGAGAGAATCGTGTTCGCGCGATAACGAATTAGAAATTTATTGACACTTTTCAGATCAGAAAACGTACACGTTAGCAAGAAAATACTCTATTTATAGCGAAGTTTCGAAATGGCGCGGTTATTCAAAGCCGGGCGAATAGCACACAAGCGACATATTCTTGACTAGTATATATATATATCACGCGTTGAAAGATTATACATTTGTTATATATGTTTATTATAATGCATGAGGGTTTTTGAAGTCACGTGGGTTGCAAGATGGCTTACTTGTCTTTTTATATATGTTACACCCGATAGATGAGTGGTGTTATATTTGACATAGAATTTTAGAAAAATTATACGAATTCGTTTATTTTGATTTTTTTTTGTTTATTGTATTATTTCGTCGTTAAATCGTTTCTTTGAAAATGAAATATTTTACCGATCGAATTCTTCTCGATCACCTTGCAATCATATTGTTGACTGGTGGCCTTTAACTATCGATATTGTTCCAAAGCAACGTCTTCGCATCGTTCGTTCCTTCGTTGTCGCAATGATTGTTTTTTATTCGATAGGAGATAATCGGTAAAGTTCCTTTTGCGTGATGCAACATGTGCGTAACTACATTACATGTATATATATATGTACATATATATTTATATGATGCGCATACGTAGATTGAGGGAAATTGATTGTGAAAGATAGATTGTGACGTAAAGCAAATAGACTGGTTTCACTGAATTTTCATTGGTCGATATTTATAATTATATTTATACAATTATCCAATTAGAATCTCATGAATCTTTTAAGTTATCATATTTTATTTATATATAAATACCATCTATGAATTCAAATAAATTGACTAAAGAGTATCGACCAATTTTACACACGATATTTATATGAATGAAAAATTATAATATATATTTTTACGTAAAAATAGTTCGTTATCCTTTTATCAAAATCCTCTTTAGATATATTTCGTATCTTTATAAATACATTTACTTCGATTAGATATAGATATCAAATGTTCATATATAACATACACGACATGTATATATATATATACGTGATTCGGATTAATCAGAACTCTAACTATTCGATTAATATACTTGTATCGTTTATCAAATTGTTAAGCGATAATACGACCATTGTAGATAATAGAGATATCTATCATATTTAGATAATATATCATCTATCATATTTATTGTATTTAATTTATAGGATTATATATACCGTATACGTGAACATATTTAAATAATTTTAATATAATTTAAGAATGATAAAGTATGCAAAGGAAAAAAGTTTTTCAAATTAATTATATAGTTATTATCAACAGGTAGGTGTAAGTTTTCGATCTCGTTTCATCCATGACGTATTCTCGCAAATATATATATACAAATCTTATATATATATATATGGTTTATAATAGACTATAATATTTAAATCGATATCACATAAAAAGAGACTACGTGTGGGAGACAAAGTAGATCCATACAAGATGGTCTCTGATTGGTCGATACGGTGGGTGTGCGCAGAGGCACGTCTACCTGCCGACAGTTTATACATTCTATGTTTTACACAACAACCTTATCTTTTTCTACGAGTCATAATAATTACAACATTAGAAATATCAGTCTGTGTTTTTCCGACTACTATTACGTCGAGAGATAATTAATCATTATAGCAAAATGTTGACGAGTTTTGATCTGTAATTGGTCGATTCAGTGGGTGTGCATTTAATAAGGTTCAGTCACCTCAAGACTGAAAATATTTCTTTTCACCATGTTTCCTTGCATCATGTGTGCGTGTACGATGTGCAATTTTAATATATAATTTTCGAAGGTGATTTTATTAAATTTAAAGTAAGCCATTAATACACATACTCATATACATATTTGATAAAAATAAATCAGGCAGTATTCATGTATAATACAAATGAATATGTACAAGATGATAATGAATTAATGCATTATTGTGATTGGTCGACATTGTCTATAGTTTGTATGACCCGATCGTATGGTAGATGTAGGATATTGACGTCATTCGGTTGCAAGAGAGGAATCACTTACACACACACACAAATTAAAAACCAATGACTACGATGTTTATACGGCTACGTATATGTAGATAAATTGGTGTTTTTTTGGATGCGTGAGAATCGGCCACGTGCTTTTTAAAATCCAAATTTATTCTCACGCGCAGGAAGACATTTGTGGGAATTTAAATTACCTTGCCATCTGAATGACTTCGAAAACTTTTCAAAAGTGAATGAGAGGAGTATTCTCTTCGCTATTTTGGTAACGATCCAAGTCGATTTCTTAAAGGTTATTTACACGTTTTCAAAAGTAAAACAATTAATGCCACATCTCTTTCATTTTTATTTTTACAAATATATTATATTTCATAAATGTAATTTTTTCTCTTGTTTATCCTGTTTTTTTTTTCTCGATATCTTCTTAATGGCCAAGGAATATTCATAAATAAATATATATATATATATATATAGATATATATTCGTTTAATATTTATCAGATGATTTTTAAAAATGTCATGCTTAACATTTTAAAATAACCTTCCTCGCCAATACATATGCATTATTACACCTCTCTTGCTGTTCAAACTACTCGACAAAATGCTACTCGACTATGTGACGTTATTAGTTTGTATTTTATTTGCTTATAGTTTGTATTTCTAAATGCGAGTTAGTGTGACGTTAGCGAAGGAAACGAGCCAGGATATTTTTATGTGCGAGTTCTCACGTGGTCTCACGTAGTAGCGTGATCGCGATCACGTTTCACTATTCCCCATAGAATGATATTAAATTTTCAAAAAATATTTCAAAATATGACGAATATTCCAAGAATTCAAATATTTCTTTTTATAATAATCATTAATTTTCGTGTTTTTTTATAAAATCACAATTAATATTTTTCATAAATGATTACACGTATTCCTGACGTTACAAATATATACTTTGGGGTATCTATCAGTTTGAACCCTGTATAATATCGATCTAACAGTAGGCAATTGTTCCAAATAAAAGGCGCAGACTCAATGAAAATAATGAAAATCAAACCGTACGCTTTAAATGAGTATCTTATATATTTTTATTAAACTTACATAAGAATAATTTTTGTTGTATAATATATCGCGAGATTAGTCAAATGAAAAAGATAAGAAAGCATTAAACGAACGAATACATAGGAAATGAAATTTAACTGAGAATTGTGAATGACGCGAACGATGAAGAATTTTCTTGGAGGTAATGAAAGGCACACAATGAATAAATATGTCGTCATCATAGAATGACTCCGATGCGTTTCTCGATTTCGTAAGCCTCGTGAATGAACCATTGGTAGAATCCGACAAAAAAAAATGTAAGGTTGAAAATACCTAAAGAGTACATAAGCAAAGGTTAAATTTTCGCGCTTGCGCCGAAGTCGAATCCTACACCTATTATGTGTAAGTAGTTGAATATCTGGTCTATTCGCGTTGTCCAGCTAAGTTATAAGCGTCCCGAGAATCGTACGAAAGAGTTCTCAATATTAATCCAAATATTTATTTCTTTATTATTTATATATGTTAGTGGCTCGTGGGTGAGTAGATAAATAAAATAGATAGGAGCTATCTAACTAAGTCACGACAAACGTGTATCTAGATATTCTAGCCTTTGCGTGTGTGTGTGTGTATGTGCACGCGTGTTAGATTTATCTCTATCGTTTGTGGAATATACTTCGATCTAATCACGAAAAAGTAATTGATTTTATTTATTTATTCAAAAATGAACGATCAAACATACGCGACAAGTGAAGAAAAAACAAAAAAAAAGTAATATCGGTCTTTTTTAAATAGTTAAATACGCAAAAGAAAAAAAAAATATAGATAGTTTTCGTATTCAAAGCTATCGTTATTGTTAACACACAAATATAAGTATTTTACAAAAGATATTTAAATGAATAGAAATGTAAATTTTTGTATTGTGTCAAAGATATAACAAAAGATTATGCGTGTTAAGTATATATACATATTATATAGATAGATTTTTTGATCGGTATTCTTTCAATGTCGCCAATTAGCCTTGCCAATTATCGCAAGGCCGACTCGGGGTTGTGTCGACGAGGGTAACGTTCGAAAAGTCTCTGGTATTTGTTCATTAAACAGTAGGAACTGATAGGAACGTGTGTAATTTCATGCGTGAGCAAACGAAATGAGGAATTAGAAATAATACCCTCTCTGATCTTTTACGATAACAAAGTTCGTTCTACCATCATCCTTAACTAAAGAGTTAAGGCGCGTTTTGTTTGACAATATAAACATGTTTCCTGTACTTATATGAACGTATGAAAAATTCATAATCGATGATGGAACAACAGACAATTTTTTTTTAATACGAGTACCGATGATGCAATTAACGTTCACGGGGATGTTTGAAACGATTAGTTTACCACTATATCATTTATTTTTCTCATTCTCTATCGAGTTTTACGCTTAATCTTATAATTCCGAAGATCTTTTACGTCACGGGGTGTGGCAAAATATTCTTCTGATCGATTCTAGAGCGATCGAGGTTACACGTATAATCGGTTGCATAGCAAACAATTAATTTCTACAATTGGTTTTATTGATCTTTTTATCATGGAAAGTTAATTGATCGAAAAGTAAAGAACATTGTTTCTTAATGGTAAATTGTTTGTCAAATGTTTACCGTCAATATCGAAGAAAATAATCATGGGTCGAGCGTAATTATGCAAAAAAAAAAGTCATTGAAGGGTGACTATACATACATACATACATACATACATATACATATCTTTCTTCCTAGAGTTACATAATGTTTCGTTGAATATAAGTTCGCTAAATACTCACCAACGTATGTTGG